GGGGCGCAAGCAAGAGAATGAATATAAGACATTATCATACATTTTGGTAATTATTTATGTAACATTTCTGTACTTAACTGTTACTTATTTATACGGGTGCTTACGTTACTATTATCATTATATTTATTCCTCGACGAGCTCCTCCAGCGTTGCGGTAGAAAGGGGAAAGAAATTGTAAAAGAAAAGTACAGGTTGATCGCGAGTCGCAAGGACCGCGGTAGGACATTTAAATTTTGTCTGCGACTGCTTGCTATTGTCGAGTGAACGCCTCGTGTGTCAGTAAATTGTCGCGTGTTTCTTTCTTCGAGTGATTTTTCAGTATACGGATAATTAATCGACAGTGATTGTAAAGTACGTAACGGATATTAATTAGTAGATACATTAATAGATTTCTTGTGATTTCTTCAAATGAATAGTTTGTATGTGAATCGAGTGTAAAATGTTGAAGTAACACGGTTTGTAAAAAAAAGAATTAACTAATTAATTATTTAATCTGTGTCAGTCAGTGGATAACTTGTGACATTTACATTAAAACTATCGAAAATTTAATAAAATAAACACTCATTACGTGGAAATCACATCGAAATGAGAATTCATCTATCTTTTTCGAGAAGCTACAGAAGTCGACAAATCTTTAAAAGGTAAGGTTTTGTTCGTGCGTGCGTGCGTGTGTGTGAAAAAGAGAGAGAGAAAATGTAAACAAATGTTTATGCGCGCGTGTAGTCAGCTGATCGTCGTGAGGGTCTCGCGTACCGCCTGCCGTCGGACAGTAAGTTGCGCCGCCCCTGTCTACCTTCCGTACGCGGCCCGTAATTTGCTAACTATTTCTCTTTATAACTTGAAAACTAAGCTCCGCACAAATTTTTGCCAAAGGAAAAATCGTCTCAGAATGTGGTCAGAAATACGTATGTTTAAGGACAATATACTTATTCTGAATCACCCTGTATATATACATATATATGCATATATATTACGGCTCTATAAGCTTAACACAATAGATTGAGGGAATTATCTTGGTGCTTCTTATAATATCTCTATGTAAATTTTATTACAGAATTATATTACGAATTCGAGTTTTATAATAATTTGAATTTTGTTAAGATCGGAAGAGCACACGTCTGAACTCCAGTCACTTAGG